CTACAATTTCGCTGGCATTAGGCAAAACGATTAACCGCTACGTTTTCAAGATGCCTATATATACTATACATACACACATGTATGTATATATATATATATATATATATATATATATATATGTGTGTGTGTGTATATATGGGTATGTTATATGGTAGTATGTGACATAAATATTATACTAAGCCTTAAACCGTGATGATAGAGAGAGCAATTAGAATAGGTTTATGCATAAAACCTTAGCGCTCGTAAGCCTCTTGAAGAAATGCACGAAAGATAAATACACTGGAACATCGGAAGCCATTAGGGTATTTATCAAATATAAACCGTCGCAACACTTACTACAAAATCCAATGGAATCTATATAGAATTATAAATATTATATATATATATATATATATATATATATATATATATGTATATATATTATATATATATATATATATATATAATTTGAAAATAATTTAAAAATTATTTGGTTAAATAAATATTTTGTAAGCAACACCGAGCTGATTTTAAAACCTATTCTTAAATAGTTTGCTGACCTCACATAATAATCTACTATTACCTTGCCTAACAAAAAACATTCCTGTATAATACTAAAAACTTTTTTAAAAATCCTGTTCTTTATATTCTGATCTAAAATATATAATCAAATTCTATTAAAGTTTAACTGTCGAACACTGCCAGAGTAAGTTATTATAGAAGTAGCAGAACGGAATATAAATTGCTCAATAATACTATAATAAAAGCATCGAAAAATCTACCTTACTGTCCTTTCTAAAGTATACAAAATGATACTATTAATAAAACAATTTATTTAAATCACTGAGAATTATGAAAAATTATGTTGTTAGCAGTATTCAGCGTTTTAGAAATGCGAGTTCGTAATTTGTATAAAAAGATACATTTACATTTGAAAATATTACATTTATGTTATATTAAAATCGGTTCAAGTTATGCAAAAAAAATTGCACTTAAACGCTAATTCGAAAGAAATGCTTTAGCCGAGCTTTAACACGAGTCCTTGTAGAGTTTTAGCCATTTCGAAGATACGGGCAAAAAGTGTCAAAACTGATAATTTAGTTATTGAGAAAGTGAAGCGTCTGATTTGAATTATTCAAAAACATTTTATTTGTATTGACGTAATGAAGAACTGGTTAATTTTTTTCAAAATCAGGTCCAGCGGTTTCGCAGATCCATTAAAAAGAAGTAAAAAAAATCAATTTGGTGATCAAAATATTGAAAATTGATATAAATAAAAAAATCGTCAATTCAAAATCATATAAAAATCAAGTCAATCAATACGGTATTAAAAACATTTTTGAAATTATTATAAATACGATTATAACTTGTAATTAACATAAAATAAATACATAAAGTTACAAATTAAAGTGTTTATAACAAATTTGGTTCTTCAAAATTCAATCAAACAACCATTGAAAAAACAAACATGATCATAAGATATATGCACAGCAAATTATCAGATATTTTATAGAGATTTTTATAACAGGTATGAATTTTTTTCACATTTCTATGGGTTCCGTACCAATGTTTATCCTTTAGACGGTGACGCGGTGCTTAAGTACTTAGATACTTCGTCTATAACAGCTACACAGCGCGATTACTTTGAAAAAAAAGTTCAATATTTTTCAAACATAAAAAAATTCAAATTTGACAAAACAGTCAAATTCTTTTAAAAATTTCAAAATTCTCAAAAATCGATTTTTTATGAAGTTATCAAAAAAGTTTAAGCTTTTTTTAAAAAAAAAATATTGGAAGTTCCAGCAATGTGCCTTATGGCACGATGCCATGCACCGCTATTTTATATATTTGTTACGTGTATATATATATATATATATATATATATATATATATTTCAATTGGAAAGTTTCTGCAGCTGCGACAAGCAAATTGCCGCCACCCACACTTGGGTATTTTTTTACTTTGAAGAAGTGCGCAATAAAGAGACAATATTCGGAGATCGTGCGAAGGCAGAAGCCAGACATAAAGAAACAAATTCATAACGACATAAAAGAATAAATGACTACTGGTTCATGGTTTTGCGCCCTTAGCACGTGAAGGAATTTTTGAATCTTTATTTTTCACAGTAAAATGAACCCTTGCCTTAAATTGATAAATGCCAGAGCATTTCGCAAGCCGAACAAATGAAAGAAATAAAATAGGGACAAATGACAAATCAGTACTGTGTTTCTAAATCCGAATATAGTCTGATAGTACGGTTTGCGATACGAAGGAAAAGATACACAGAACATTTTTATATCAGAGAATCTTGAGTTCTATTCAACAATAAGTGTATTGAAATATATCAATAGTTTGTACCTAATATAAAAATTATTGTGCTTATTTAGAAAAAAAATTCTGCAGAAAAAAAATAGTAAATTGAATTAATTAAAAATACTTCATTTGATTCTATTTTATTTAATACTTTATTGCAATTAAAATGAATAATTTATTTTTCAATTTATTAGATTTTTTTTCACAATTTTGCCCTTTGTTAATAATACTCAATGTTTCTCAAAATTCTTTATTTCTCAACATTGATCTAATATGTTATTACAAAATAATAAGTTTTGTGTAATCCGGCCGATTCGATGTGAAAAGTTGATTGTTTTTTTTTTTTAAAGGGTAGTCCATGTAAGGCTTCTGCAAAAGTTTAAAAGTTACCATTTTCTAGTCAAAAGTAGTGGTTGAACTCAAAATTATCGAACATTTTATAAATATTTTAACTAGTGGGGCGCATGGTATCGTGCCTTAAGGCAAATTGCTGGAACTTTTCATACCAAAAAAAAATTTTTTTTAAAGATTAACATTTTTGAAAAAAAAATTACTCTGAAAAATTAGATTTTTGAGAAACTATAAATTTTTTACAAAAATTTACTTTTTTTAAATTTTACTCTTAATATTGAAAAAAAAGACTTTTTGAAGTAAAGTGTATTTTGAAATATTTTGGAAATTCTGAACTTTTTTTTAACGCAATCGTACTGCTTTAACTGCATAAAGACGAATTATCGAAGCGCGTAAGCGTCGCGCCGCCGTCTAACGGATAAGCATTGGTACGGAACCCATAGGAATGTAAACAAAATTCATACTTATTGTTAAAATCTCTATAAAATATCCTATAATTTGATGTGCATATGTCTAATGATCATTTTTGACCACCAGATGGCACTTTTTTTTTACTTTCTTTACTAGATCTCCGAAACCGCTAGACCAGCCTTCATGAAAATTTGATTAGTTTTTTATCTTATTAATACAAGTAAAATGTTGTTTGAATTATTCAATCTGACGCTCCGTTCTCTTAAAAACTTTACCGTTACTGTTTTTGGCACTTTTTGCCCCATATCTTCGGAACGACTAGACCTGCCTTCGCCAAAAACTAATCAGCACATCTCCTTATTAATACGAATCGAATGTTTTTTGAATTATTCAAATCGTTTCATCCGTGTTCCCGAAATCGTCGACGAAAATTTGTATCCAAACACACATACACACGCACACATACATCCATTTTTTTTCTAAGGTATGCTGAAATATTCAGAAACCTCTGAAACGTAAAGATATATAAAAATGTTCATTTTTGATTTTTTGCGATTACTTTAACTTACCCTACGGAAAGTTAACAATAAAAAAGCTGTTATATTTTGGGATATACTTCAGATTGCATTAATTTTAGGACCAAAGCAACCGAGGTGCAAAAATGCAAGAATCGATTTTTCTAATCGAATTCCAAACTCTAAAATAAATGTCATATAAAAATACAGATGCATAATCATAATATAGGATGTAATTAGAGACAATTTATTTATCTACGAGTTGGCTAACATATTCAAGACACTCTAAAGATATAGATTGAATTTACTTTAAAGTTTGAGAGCTATAGCATTTAAAGTGCAAAAACGCAGTAAAAATTTAATCAAAACGGATTAAAATAAACTGTTAATTTATAGCTAAAAAAAAAATTGTTTTTTTTTTTTAAAAAAAAAATAATAATAACCAGTTATGATATTCTGCCTTGGCAAATTGTTGGAACATTTCGTTTTATAAATAAATCATGAAATTACTGCAAATTGATAGTTTTCCTTTGTTTCACTATCATAAACATATTTCTCCTTACATGTAAAAATTATGCATAAACAGCGAATAACTGGTCGTTTATGTATAGAAAAAGAAGTCAATAAATTTGAACAGTAAATAACTTCAGACGAAAACTAAGTGAGTAAACACTCGAATTTTTTTTTTGAATTTTCTGTTAGAATTATTCGAGCAAATTGTTTTTTATTTATCATAACTTCTATTTCTATTTCTATTTATCCAAACCGGTATTTTGATAAGAAATACTACCCAAAAACCGGTTTTCTAAAATGCCCGTTTTTGTATAAACCCTAATCTACACACGCACACATATACATGCATGCACACACGTGTATATTTATATATATATATATATATATGTATGCATGTATATATGTATGTATGTATGTATCATCGTGTGCTGGTCCATGTATGTATGCATCGTGCGTGTAAGATATCATGTGATGATTACAGTCAGTGGGAGCAAGGTTGATCCACCCTCGGCTATCGCTAAGATATTCCGTTTGCTTCTCAGTTCTCTAACTAAATAACATGTTTCCGTACATATTCCGCACATGTACACATGTTCCTGGCAAATAAATAAGGGTTGCATATGGGAGTCAACCAACCCCAGATCAGTCATTGTCGCCCGTTCATCTGATACAGATTTTTTATCTTATTTGGCACAACTTGCACTCAAGTACAGTTTTTTTGCAACTATTTTACTAGTTTTAGTTACATGAACATTGTAAAAAAATCTGGAGAATGTGAATGAAACCGGTTATGAGGGGGAGAGGGCGGTGTTAGACTAATCTTTTACTTAATAATTGGAAGATATAATAATTTATACAATTTATAAGTAAATAATTATCGTTTTGTTTAGTTCAAACATATAAATTATAATAAAATACCTGATAATTTGAAACCCATAAGCGCGTCAGGGCCAGAGAGCGATCGAGGACCAAATGCTGCAAACGGATGAAAACCATGATGTCTGTAAAAGTGAAATTTCTTCTTAGAAAATAGTATTTATATATATATATATATATATATATATATATATATATAATGTAGTATGGTGATAAATATTTCATATATATAAAACAAATAACTTCTTAATAGGCATCCACCCCGATAATAAAATACAAAGAAAGCTAACATTTGTTTCTTAAAATACATTTGATCAATCCATATGTTTCGGGCCTCAATTTGACACTTCCTCAGTGGAAACAAAATACACAAGTAATCAATACACAAACACAAAAACATGTCCAAGAAATTATTAGTTTACAACAAGCATGTTAGTAAAAAATAAATATCAACTATACTTCGAAAAAAAAAAAACCAATTTATTTAAATTATAAAAACAAACGTGTTTACATTGCATTAATGTTAATATGGTAATGTTATAATATTTTATAAAAAAAATATATATTTAAATTTTTTTAATTTAATCTCAAATTACTAAATTAAACGTAGATTCTGTTATTGCTACTATTTACTGAAAGTATCTGATCTATCTATTGAAACCGCATATGAATATTTCAACTTATATGCAATTGTTCTTATATATATATATATATATATATATATATATGTATATATATATATATATATGAACTGAATGAAAAATATGCTTATGACTGACCTAGTTTTGGATCTTGGTTCTCTGGGGCCATCCACCGTAACTTTGATCGCCTTCGTATAAGTTGCAACTTGCGGTGGAGAAGTTGAGAGCATTATCGTCAGGGTAAAACTTTTACCTGTTAAAAATAAATTACCTAATTATAATCATTGATATTAAAGACATGGTTATATATTACTGCACACACACACACACACATATATATATATATATATATATATATATATATAAATTGTGATTTCATTTTCAAGAGCCTCATTTATTCTCAAAAAGATTTGTTATATATTTTCTATATCCATTCTTTGGTAAATTTGAATTTATTGATACCATTTTTTAACACTCACCTAAAAAAAATTGTACATTCACTGAAAATTATAATTGATTATACCGATGTTTACAATTGTGTGTGCATTGCCAAATAAACACAACATCAATAGAAAACGTGAATTTGTTTACAAATTTACTATATAATTCATATGTTTCAGTTATAATTCTAGCACTCATGCAGTGAAAAAATTGCCTAAATTAATAAATTGCTTCTACTGAATGAAGGCTGAGAATGTAGCCTTAAATTATGGATTTTACAAAAAAAATTTAAAGAAGAAGAGTTTTAAATATGTTATTGATGTATAAATATTATTATATTATTGGGAAAAAATCAATTCATCAAAAATCACCAAAAATCATAACCCATGTGTCTATCAATTGCACAGGGGTGCATAATCTTATTAACTTGCCGTAGGGTAATTTATAGTAATCGCAAAAAAAAAATTGAAAATGAAAATGTTTATATATTTTCACGTTTAAAAGGTTTCTGAACATTGTGGCATACCATAGAAAAAATGTATGTCTATGTGTGCGTGTGTGTGTGTGTGTTCGTATGTGTGTGCGGATCAACCGATTTGATTGATTCAAAAACATTCAACACCTATTGTTAAGGAGACGTGCTGATTAGTTTTTTGTCAAGACAAGTCCAGCCGTTTCGAAGATACGGGGCCAAAAATGAAAATTCAGTTTTTGAGAGAACGGAGTGTCCTATTTTAATAGGACAAAACGAAGAACTTATTAAATTTTTGGTAAGACAGGTCTAACGGTTTTGGAGATCAAGTAAAAAAAGTAAAAAAAACTTCCATTTTGCACATCAAATTATCACATATTTTACAGAATTTTTAATAGTAAGTATGAACTTTGTTTACATTTTTATGGGTTCCGTACCAATGTTTATCCGTTAGACTGAGTCGCGAGTCGCTTACTCGCTTTGATATTTTTTCTCTAAATAAGCCACGCAGCACAATTGTGCTTTGAAAAAAAGTTGTAGATTTTCAAAAATTACAAGATTTAAAAAAAATCAATTTTTTCCAAAGTCTTTTTTCTTCAAAATTCTCAAAAATATCGTTTTTTCAAAGATTTAACTTTTTTAAAATATTTAATTTTTGGTACGAGAAGTTCCAGCAATTTGCCTCAACCAACGATGTATCTATAAACTAGATTTAGGAACTTTATAAGAAAACATTCTTTTCGAATACGTCCGCTATTTGCTTTCTATGCATATTATATTTTGTTCGCCTTTGCTTGTAGTGAAAGTAAACAATGTCAGACTTGAACCGAAAGTTTCAGGGTAAGAGAAGAGATATTGACTTCCCCTTCGTATATTTTAAATCAACTTCCTTCCGGTTTATTAAATGAAACGTTAGCAAACATTGAATATTTGCCCGTCCATCTGCAGCCGTATTGAAATTTTCTTGACAAACAACTCACAATTAGAAAACATTACATAATACACGGCCTCGGATAAAATGAGTCACGTTGAATTTCATTTTATGTTCAGGATTATTATATACATATTAACATAATGAGAATAGTCTATCTTTTTTATGAATTTATTATTAAACTAAGGGACCAGCTTTGCCGTAAAATAGACCAATGTTATGGCAGGGCTATGTTACGTAGCAGTTTTCATATAAAATGGTACCAAATACCCTCAAAATACCATGTATTTGCTATGCGATCGGGCGTTTTACATATAAAATACAACTTGATAACTTCGTTTTTTTATATTTGTGCGTTGTCTATGTTACATTTTCTATCTAAAACGCCTGAGTGCATAGCAACCACATGGCTTTTGAAAGCATTTAATACCATTTTGTATGAAAACTTTTACAGCCTTGCCATAACATTGGTCAATTTTACGGCAGAAACGCCTTCTAACTCTGATACTGATATTGTCTTTATTTGATGTAGCAAGTCCTTGTAAAAGTTCTTTTCGCTTAAAAACGTGTTGCTATCTAAATTTTCAAATGAAAATCCGAACCAGAAACTTTTAATTCCAAGTCCTTAGCTCTAATCACTAATCTACCAAGAAGCTTCTGCTCAGCATTATAGAACAAAACGACTTTCAACTAAAATTTGCATAGTTGCTAATTATTTAGTTGGTCATAAATGGATGAATTTGATAAATTTTATCTCCATTCTATGTCACATATTGGTTTTTGGGGGTTTCTATCGTCGTGCAACTTACACTTCGAAATTAAATGATATCGTCTGACACAGGTTTTTTTATAAAAACATCTTTTCTCTACACATTGGTTAATATTTTCACTTGAAAATCTCTCAGTGCTTTATCTGCTTCATAGTCGAAAAGTGAATTATATTTATAAAAATATGAATATTTATAAAAAATTGAATATAAAAAACAATATGAAAAATTAGTAGATGCGAATAGAAAAAAAATTATTTTTTTAGTGTACTTGAGTATTATGAATTTCGAAGTCGATCGTAAAAAGATAAAGTATTATATAAAAAAATGAACAATTGTATGATATATTTAGTGCATATTTATTATTATAAAACAAAATTATCGTTTGCACGTATTTTCAAAGTGATATAAATTACATACTTGATTATTTTTTATAACTACTTTTTATATGGCTATTATATATTAGACTCTAATAGAGTTGAAGAATGGATCGAATTCCCTAATAATTAGAGAATTCGATCCATTCTTCAACTCTATTACTGTGGGAGGTTTTAATAGAATTACTAATAAGAAATGGTCCTACCGATGTATATCAAAAACTAGTGCTGGATGGCATCGTTCCTTAAGGCAAATTGCTGGAACTTCTCGTACCGAAAATTCAAATTACATTTTTTGAAAACTTTGAAAAAAAGAGTATTTTGAAATTAAAAAAAAAAATCACTTTTTTGAGAAATTTGAATTTTTTTATACTGCGATCTCTATAAAATATCTGATAATTTGATGTGCATATGTCTAATGATCATTTTTGACCACCAAATGGCATTTTTTTTTACTTTTTTTACTCGATCTCTGAAACCGCTTGACCTGCCTTTGTAAATATTTAAATGGTACTTTATTTTGGCAAAATAAATAAAATGTTTTTCGAGTTATTCCAATCGGACGCTCCGTTCTCTCAAAAACTAAATTACTATTTTTAGTTCTTTTTACCCTGTATCTTTGAAACAGATAGTCCTGCTTTTGGCAAAAACTAATCAGCACGTCACCTTACCAATACGAATCGAATATTTTTTAAATTATTCAAATCAAATCAAATTGGTCGAATCGTGTTCCCGAAATCGTCGACGAAATTTTGTATCCGCACGCACACACACATCAATTTTTCTAAGGTATGCCAAAATGTTCAGAAACCTCTGAAACATAAAGAGATATAAAAAATTTTATTTTTGATTTTTTTTGCGATTACTTTAACTTGAAGTTAATTAATTAGTACTATTTATATGCAAAACGGTTTTAAATTTTTAACTTCAGTTTACGATAACGTTTACGAAACAATGTGTAATTTTAAAGAAACGGCTCGACAAATCATAGCGCATTATCTTGAATCATCATTGAATTTTATCGGGGGGCTCTTAATGTTGTTTCGTACGATAGAAACGGAATCTTGAAAAAAATTAAATAAAACTTGAACAAACTTGAAGAATTAAGAATCTTAACAAAATCTGAAGTTTATCACTTGAATTATACTTCGAAAAATCTGGATATTTGTTCAAGATTTTTTCAATATGTTTTTACAGCATTAAGGACAGGACTCAAATTGTAAGCTTCCCTAACTGAAATTTAAAAAAAAATCTAACTTTGTTTTTTTTAAATAATTAGATGGATACATGATATTCTTTTTATTATTTTATTCTTTTTATTATATTTTCTACCATAAAAATGTTATATATATATGTATATATATATATATATATCTTTATATCTTTATATATCTTTATATAATGGTGAGTCCAAATAAGTTTCAGTGCCAAGCTCACACATGTCGCATGCGAAAATTCCCTCGCCTTGTAGGGGATGGCGCTGACAGTTTTGACAAATGCTCTACACCCTTTCTTATTTATACCCAACCTGCGATATACCCCTAGGTCGGGCAGTATTAGCAAAATATCAATACGGATCGCACGATTGCTATTGATTGCTTCATATTTTCATATTACTTGTTGTGGAGATTTTTATAATAAAAGTTTGAAAGGCAGCATAGGAATGCAAGTATTATTTCCATATTTTAAACATCAGAGTAATTCATAACTATATGTATATATGTATACTAATATTACAATACTATTTGAGAACTTACGAATTTTCTTATTTGTATAATTAGTAAATTCTTTTAAGCAAGTGATTATTTTACTCTCAATGTTTATCGTTAAATTCAAATCTCAAAATTCATCGTTATACAAAGTTTTATCATTTTTTTTCAAAACATTTAATTACAAAGAAACGGCCCGGCCGATCTTTACCACGAACTCTTCACCACAAATGCCATTCTCAAACAATATCTTTCGAACTGTTTTTGAATTTTTAAAATCGATTCAAAATTGTGGTCTAAAACGTAAACGAAAAAATTTACACACTTCTGCAAGTTACAAAGAAACGGCTTGGCAGAGCGTCGCGCATTATAAGCAATTTATAAAGTACCAAAAACGGTCCTTAGAGATACAACAAAAGCTAGTGCATCGTTCCTTAAGGCAAATTTCTGGAACTTTCCGTACCATAATGAAATATTCGAAGAATATTTAATGTTTTTTAATAGAATGATTTTATCTCACATTTCTAAGAATTATATAAACTGAATTGCAAAGTTA